CCCTTAGCTACAGCCTCACATCTCCAATACTAAGATAACAACACTGGCCTCAGGTTAATGGAAAGGACCTGCCCTGGAATTTTGCACAGCCTGAGGGATGAATCCCATTTTGGAGAAGCACTTGGAAGTCACATTCCGGTGGTGGGGAGTGTCAAAGGCAAGGGGAGTGAAGCCAACATCGCACCATGTACCAGCTGAAAATAACTGAATCTAAGGTGAGGCATTTCATCTCCTTAGGACAGTGGATCTCCACACCAAAGCTAGGAGATTACCCAAAGATTGGTAATCACTTACTGAACCAAAAGCAGGCGACCTTGGAAAGAAATCAGAATTGATTAGCTGTGCAGTGGCATCTTTGAATGTTGGCAGTTCTTCCCACCCCCACTGCCCGTAAGCTTAGTTTCTAGCAGCCCCCAGACCAGTCCAAACACAGGAAAAATGATACGAAACAAACTCTGTATGTTTGAGTATGAGAGAGAAATGAGTGAGTTCAAAAGCATCTTATCTTGTAAATCATAGGAGTGTTTGCATATTGCTGAAGCAAAGGTGCTTCATTAGCCGGAAAGGAAAGGCAGTGAATGAGTAATGAAAACTGTGTAATGCAGGATGAGAGTAGACTTTCCACACATTGGCTGAAGAAAGGTTTACACTCTTAAGCAGTAAAAACAAACCATTAAGCCAGACCTACACTGTCAGGAAGTATAAAATTGTTCTTGAAACTCTACAGTAACTGCACACAAACTTTTTTTTTCGTAATAGAAATCAGGAAAGACAGTTTGTCAACGACATCAGGTAAACCAATGGAGGATAAATAATGTTAAATGCTGCAAATGGCAGTTAACAAATGATTAACTATTTAAAGTTTTAAAGCAAGCCCCAGATCAGTGACAAAACCTTTTCTGGTGCATCTTGAGCATCAGTAATCCAGATCAGCTTCCTTCTCAAGAAAGGTTACAAACAAGCGGCTTTCACAGCCAGGCCTCAGCAATAATGACTTCAATAATATAAAGATGTCTGGTGAAATTGGGTGGTAGAATTAGATGGCAAAAAGTTGATATATGCTGTAGCAATTGTGTGAATTCTGCACAACATCCATGGGCAGGCTCAGTCATCTCTTGGACTGAGTGAACAGTGGTATGAAGGGAAAATGTGGCACAAAAACGGCTGAAAGCAGGTTCAGAGATTGGTTTCTGTGAGCTTTTGAAATGGGGCACAGCTACAACTGTCCAGGTATTTCATGGAACTTGTCTCCAGGAAGCTTCTTCCAAACCATGGATATGACATCACAGTGACTAGTTCATCTTGGTGCAAACAAAACTGTAGTGGTCTGACAGGCAAAAACATACAATCAAGTGATTGAAGTTGGAAATTGCACAACATTTAAAAAAAAATAAAGATTGAATTGCAGGAGTGGGGACTTTAGCTTTGCCAGGCATCTTATTAAATGCAATTGAACAGATACATAGCACTTTTGTAAATCTAATCCAATTAATGTTCATGGTGAACCTTGATTCTATGCCAAGGAGGTTCATGGGGGTATCACTACTAAAGCAAATAAGGTTAAGCACGTTGCTAAGATGCATCTCTCGTCCAGCAGTTTTTAATTCTAGCTGCCAGATGTTAACCAGATTTGTAACACTTTGGAAAGATTGCATTGCTTCCATAAAAACTATTGTGCAGGCATAACAGAACAATTTCTTTTTTTCTTTTAATGGAAAGTATAACCTTGCCTAACTTGTTAGTCTTGTTGTAGTATCAAAAATGTTGCACTACCAAAGCAAAAGCATTAATAGGTTGTTAAAACACACACAACACCCCCATATTAATCCATTCGTTTGTAGCCAAATTGAAGTGGTGTCAGGACCCACTGAAATACCATCCATGGGGTGGATAGAGCTGGTAACAGTGTCATTTAGCAACTGCTTCAGTGGATCATCATGCTTATTCCTCCCTTAGGAACAGTTCAAAGTGGGGCTGAAATTCATGTTTCTCATTAGCAGCAGCCCATCATTTGGACTGGAGGGACAGAGCGAGGTACTGGAAAAATCTGGGGTTCCGGCCCACAGAACATCAATAAAGCACAAATCTGCAGATTCTTTCAAGTGAGTCTCCATGTGTGTCTTTACTTGTGAAAAGGGATCCATGGACAGGGGAAAGGAGTCCATTTGATTCCAGGAAGGAAAAAAAATCCTCAAGCGGGAAGATTCAAGTGAGGGGAAGGAGCAGAAGGTGAAGCACTCATGAGCCAAAAGCCATCTAATTCAGCTGGATCAGATGCAACAGAGATCAATAAAGACCCCTGTACCTTTATGTCAGCAAGTGCCCATGGACAGCTGGGTGGTGGGAGAGGAGGCCTCCCAGGGATTCAGGGCTCCAGGCCTAGTGGGTTGCCCCCTCATACCACCACAACCACCACAACTAGCACCCTGAGGAAGAGCACTCCGTGCAACTGTTTCTTCCACTGGATCTATTCCCATTCGATGTGCACAATATGGAAAACATGGCAGTAGATTATTGCAGCACACATCTCTGCTTGGAACCAGATGCTTTCCCTCTTTTCATCCCATGAAGACTAACATGCAAAGCACTATCCAGGGTTCCCATCTCATGATCCTCCCTCCACACATTACAGATGTGATATTTGCTGACTCCTTGACATGCACTAAAGCTGGTTGTACACAAATGGATGTGTAAGTTTTCCATGCCAGCGTTCTGAACTGAATCAGTCATTTACTCCTTCAGTTCTTAAGCCAGCTTAGCGTTAATAAATTCTAGAACATTTCAATGAACCACATTATGGGCTTAAAATCTATTCTTCATCATGCTTTGTGTGTGACAGAGTATTGAGGTACTGGCATGGTATGTAGATCATTGCTACTAGAAGCAAGGCCCAGATATCCATTTTAACATCCTGTCACAACCATTTCTCAAATATACTTTGCAGTGGTATTTTTAAGTTTGGCATCTGGGATTACAAAGGTGTTGTTTGGTGACCCAATCACCACTTCAGTAGTCAGTCCAAGCTGACACAAATATACAAAGACTCACTGAAATACTTTCCTGAGGATCCAGGTTGTTTGCTGGTAAGGAATAGACTTTCCAGAAACAAACTTTCCTTGAGCTTAAGGAAAACCTAATATTAGACCCCCTCAAGGTTATGTCAAATACATTGTTACAGGAAAAGATAATCTCTTTGCATATTAAGATAACAGTGGAAACCACATACACTCCCAGAACTCCTTGAAGGACAGAAGGGATAGAAGCCAAGTAAGTTGGAAGCACTAACCACTTTCAGCTGGAGGACTGAATTCTATTTCAGAGCAGCTTTCAGGCCCTGCATTTTAGTTTTGGATAGGGCCAGAGGCAAAGAGGGCAGGACTAAAGTCCCCCCACCCCCGCAAAAACAAACCAACCAACCCAGGAAGGCATAAGGCTCTCACTGCCAGTTTGTAAGCCTTGGGAAAAGCTGGAAAAGAACCCAATGAGTGGTGTTTGGGAGAAGTGGGTTGGAGCTTCTAGGGATTGCCAGAAGCCCAGATTTGGTTCTGTAATCCTGCAGTAAATAAATAGAGAACAAAGACATTCAATCTCACCTTCCTCCACCCACCCCCCACCAAGATATTCTAATTTATATTAGCAGCTACAACTAAAGCTTCTTGATTTTGGTTAAAGGTAAAACTGAAACACCTCTAGGGATATTGCTTTAATTGAAAGCAAGTATATGGTTCCACAGACACCAAATAATCATTTTTCAAATCCCTTAAATTATTCCACTGTGCATAATTTTGGGACTGGTTATAACTTTATCAAACATATTTATCGGCATACATTTGTACATGTAATTCTGGAAAGATTGGTCCTAGGTAAGTAGGGATCTTGTCTACACTTACTTGGAAGTAAGGCTTGTTGAGCTCAGTTCGACTTTCACCTGAGTAGATATACCTAGGATTGTGCAATCACTTTATTTCTCCTTTTGATTTTGGTGGTGCTCTAAGTAGCCCATGTTCTGGTTTAACATTTACCAGGATCTTCAAGTCTATTAGTAGGTGGGCTTGTATACTGTTCCCCAATATCCTGTACAATATATACTGTTAGTCCATTTGACACTGTATATATGTGCATTTGAATGGGGGGGAGGTCATATAGAAAGCTCCATGTGACCATGTCACCATGTGGAAACATTGTGGTAATTTGAGCAAACTCACGCTCAGCAAAAAAACAATCAAAACAACAACAAAACCCAGCAACTAAAGTCACTCTCATGTCCATAATACAGCGAGAACTAACATCTATCAGTGTGTCATACTGTAATATCTGAGATAAAACGCAGGCCAGGAGGGCGGGGGGGATTTGAAATCATAAGATCTGACTTTATCTTTCACAGGAATTGAGGCTTGTCATCTTGTCAGGCTGTACAAGTTTCATAATTTATGTGAACCATTATTTGTCTCCACCTGGATTCCAGGTATGAAGTATACTTTGTGCCACATTCACACACACACACACACACAGGAGAGGGAGAGTTCCATGCAGGAGTTACCATGGCTCGAAGAAACCTCCAGCTACTGAGGTAGTGTGCCAGTGGGTACCAATTGCTAGGGGCAAAGTTATGACAAGGCCTACCCCCACTGTGCTTGTGGATTTTCTGGAAGCGCTCAGGTGGAAGCAAGCAGGGACTAGCACAAGCAGGCCTGTCCCTTTCGCATGCATGTGATGTTCCAGTGAAAGTAAAAGATGGATCTGCATCTTTGCTGCTTCCAGCAAACCTATTCCTCACCTAAATCTGGGTATCGTTGGACTGGCGCTCCCAACCTTCTGAACCCCCACAGTCAAGAGGGTTGATAGGAACTAAAATCCAGCAACAGCCCCAAGCAGAGAGTGTAAAAAATCTGTCCCTGACGTGTCACCATATCATACAGTTCTGTCATTAAACAAGCATTACTCAGTAACAGAGCGAATCTGTCTCCCCAGCTGTTAGGAATAGGTGAATAGAAATAAACTTTTAAAAACGGGTCTTTTATTTAATATTTGGCCAGGACAATGGATTCCAATGGATGAACTACTGAAAAGGGGGACGAACAGCATAGACATTTTGCTTTTCTGTAGGTGTGACGGGACAGTGGGTGGGGAGGAGAAAGGAAAGAGACGTTTGCAATCAGCCCAGTTGGTGGTCACATCACCCCTCCATGAGGAACAGCAGCTCTATTTCGACCTGCTTGGCAATGTCTGGTTCTTATCCAAATGCTCCACAGTGAGAGGATGCCAGTTTCTCATGGACTGGGCAGCCCACCCTGCAGCATTCCTGAGAATTGTACAATATAATCTTGAGTCAGCAGGGTGGATTAGCCACTTTTCATTGGACTTGCACTTGTGACCTTAACAGTAGAACTGCAGAAAGCAAAATGCATTATGCACCTTTGCCATAGTAACCCTTCCATGTACACATTTCGACTCATTTAAATACACACAACTGAAAACAGCTACCATTTGTTTTAAATTATGTACAAACCCTATATTTTTTCTGCTTTTTTGATTATACATATAAATACAAATTAGCTATTTTTCTAAAAAGTGGTTATAATAGTAAATAAATACAAAATAAGAATCTGACCTTTATACTTCATGTGCTGAGGGGAAGGGGGGTTAAACCCATATAAAATGTACAACTAAAATATGTTTAAAAATCTTTTAAAGGAATAATTCTCTGATTAAAATATTTTTCCTTGCTTTTTTCTGTAGTCATAAATAGATTTTCAAAATAGATGTGTTTAATTCTCCATTTCATAACATAAATAAGGTCTTCATTGGAAATATTAAAGTGTCAAGTTTTGTTTCTCGTTTTCTATTTATTTTGTATGTGTCCGTTTTATTTTGCTGCTGTATCAGCGGCATCCGCAGCCCTCCACAACCATATCTTGATAGTTCTTTAATACAACCTTTTCATTTTCATCAAGGTACAGCATGGAGATAGCACTCAGTTCTGTCGGCACGCAGCAAGCTTTGGGGATTTTGGAATTCACGGAATTGACAAGAGTCTGAACAATGGCGTGGTTTGTCGAGTTCAGGTGATCTGCCAATGGAAAGGGGCAGTCTCCATGGCAATAGAAGGCACCATAACCCGGTGGGGCCACTATCCAGTCATTCCACCCTACATCGTTGAAGTCCACATATAAAGGGTGCCTTTTGCAATTGAATTTATGGCGCTTACGCAGTTTCTGCTTAGCCTGACGTTTCTCTCTCTTATGGAGAGGGTGTCCCTTTCCGTCATGCCCAAAGGTGACTAGCAGCGGCCTGATCTGAGACCAGCTGGCATCATCCCGATGCAACGACCTGCTGATCCGGATGTGCCTCTTGGAGGCACTGCTCTCACTGTCCAAGTGCACAACCTCTGCCACAAAACCATGGTTGGGTTGTCCATGTGCAATCCACCTCACTACAGCAGGTGTCACATCAAACGTTTCCCATTTGCTAGTGTTATGATGCACCAAGCGGGTGTCCAAGAGTCTCGTGACAGGGTCCTTGGAGGCCTCTCCCTCTGGCTTTATAATTTCATAAATATTAATACGGTGGTAATAGCTGCCATTACTTTCAAAGGCATCTTGGGTGTGCTCCCGAAAAACCTGAAGCTCGGCTGAAGTAACTAACTCCCCATCAGGGATTGACGTTAGGTTAAAGAAGAATCGCCGGGATGTTTTCCCACTTCTTTCTGGAAGATCTTCCAGTGCTTCTGATTGAAGAGAGAAAAGCAAAATGTACCATCAGTGATTTAGATACTTTGAAGCAGGGGAAGCGTAAGCCAACATATGTTTACTTTAAGGATTTGAACATTTTAAAGGCACATCTACATTTAAGCAAGCACATGAAATATGATGTTGCAATGCTTCATTTCTGGTCCTGCATTTAGACTGAACAGAGTACATGGTGAATTCCAGGAGGTCGTAATAATGGGGAAGAAATGTGAAGCATCGCTTTGGAATTCAAATGCACTAAAGACATTTTTTAACACTGTGGTTAGTGGGGGGCCCTCTGAGAGTAATTAAAAAGTGACTAAGGATCAAGAAAGGGGATTGCAGTTCTTACATTTCTTTTTAAAAAAACACCAGCACCACCCTATTACAGCTTTCGGCTCTGTCTCCCACAATCTTTTCCAAAAGCTTTATGCCACAAGTGTCATGCTATTCTGTTGAAAATCTTGTATCTTATTTACAAACCACTGCACGAAGCACACCCAGTCATTTTGAGGCAAAAGGGCCTTAAATAAAAAGTACTTGGATGAGTCTAGTAATTCTCTTGAAAGGAATCCATGGGGAGACTTGGCACCACAGTGACTACAGTCTTACAGGCATATTGAACTGTGATGGCCCAATGTGGAGAGGTGGTGCTTTGGATATCCTCCACTACAGCTGCATCTGTTTGGAAAGCCCATCTCCAACCTTTTACGGCACTCAGACTATGAGGCACATAGCGATACAGGCTCCAATGAGAGCTGAGGCTTGTCTTTCTTGTCTCTAGAAACTTTTCTGCTTCTAATTTATAGAGTACATCTGAATAATCAAAGCGCATTACCTGCTTCGTCTCAATCATCCTTGTTTTTAACTCCATATTATAGGTGGGGACAAATAAACAGCAGTTTCCCTAAGGCTAGCTGCTAAATTAATGGTTGAACTGATATTTGAATGAGAGCTATTTGGCTTATTGGTGTTCAAGTGATGAGCTGGGACCCAAAATTGGTTCACAGCAAAATAAGGTAGCTTGGAGCACAAACATCATTTTCTTTGGGTTGTGTAAACAACATTTTCTTTTGGTTCTTGGTAAAAGCCTGAGAACGAGGGTACACAGAGTGAGTAAAATAGAAATGGTGGGTGAGTAGGTGTGAAAAGAAAGAAGGAAGGGGCTTCTAAAGAGTAGGAGAGAGAGATGCATACTGGCAAAAGAAAGAAAGTGCACCCTGTGCAAAACTGGGATCAAAGGATAGCTTCTTTTTCTGAAAACACATGCCCTAGTCTTTTGGAGATGCACATTTTACTTGTATGAAATATGAACTTCTGCAAGTTAAACATGCTATATAATACTGATGGTATGTACAGCTGCTGCCAACACTGTTATATCTTCAGGCTCAGGAAGAATATGCAAATACATGAGATCTGGCAAAAAGCAGGTGGAAGAGTGGGGCTTCCCATACCAACACTCCCATCTTTTTCCAGGGGCCCAGTATGGGATATCCTTATCCTCACAATACCTGTATGTTTGGCTGGGAGCACGTGATGTGCCCAGGACACTTAATGAATTTAAGCTGGTGTCCTCTTGAGGTTTTGGACTACACCTCCCATCAGCCCCATTCAGTTTGTGGATTAAATTTCTGTACCACTCAATGGCCAAAACTTTCTGGGCAGTTTACAAAGACTGCCAAGCACGGCTAATTATTAGGGTTGTGGAAATAGTAGCCCATAACTTCTGGATGACACTGGGTTGCTTATCCCTGCACTATACAATTCCAGTATCATCACACAACTAGGTTGGATCCAGATTTAGTCATGCTTACAAGTGGATCCACTGAAAATAATATAACTTGAATGAGTCATACCTAAATTCATGATAAGTCCATCCATTCATTCATTCAAAGTCTATTCGAAGCATGACTATGTCTGGATCCAACCCATTACTTTTAATAGTGCTAGCATAAGTGTAACAACTGTGGCTAAGTCTAGGCATGCAATGTATTATTTTTAACTGCTGCTACACTGCTCTGTTAGTGCATTTGATTGGAAGAGTCACTGATTTTAATGGCCATTAGTTTAGGAGAGCTTAGGAAAAGCAGCAAAACTTCAAAAACTTCTCCTATTTCTTGAGTACCTGTGCAATCCTCAACTTCAGAGCATTTTCATGAGTCACCAAATGTCATTCTAATTCATTGCTTTTCAGATATCTCAGCCTTACCTAAGCTAGTACCCTCCAGTTCTGTTAGAATGGAACTCCCATCACCCTCAGATAATGAAATGATGGGAGCTGCAAGCCAACACAGCAGGTTGGGAAAGGCGGAGGTAAATAATAGTTAGGTAACCTTATACAGGACAAGTGGCAGCTGACAAACCCTTGCAAGCTTGCTGCAGTGGAGTCATTCCACCTTGGCTTTGCCTCCTGCCTCTACACCCCTTTGCACCGTCCCCACCTGTGTGCCTGTGCACATTGAGGTGCTCTCCTCCAGGGCCAGCCCTGCCTTGCAGCAGGGTGAAGCAACCTGCTGGAGGCTACTCCCTGGGGCGGGAGCGCAAGTGCTGGGATCCAGGCAGGACTCTTGATGTGGTATCTGGAGAGCAGGGCAAGACCTTTTCAAGTGTCAGCCCCAGGCTGCGGGTGGGGTCTCCAGGCTCTGTTGTAAGCAACTGCGTAAGCAACCCTCGAGATGCCAGCCAGCCCAGGGAACCACTTCTGAAGCAGGCAGATCCCCAAGTTTCCCCGGCCTTTTCAGGCCTTGCTCAGGTGCCTTGTATCTGAAGTCAGGAAATGCATGCTTAGCCCCACTCTCTCCTCACACAGGACACCCTCCTGGAGGCTTCCCCACAACCAAAATCCTTGATTTTCCTGCATTCTCCAGCATGCGGAGAGCTCCCTCTGAGGAAAGGGCAGTGTGATGGAAACTCACCAGGAGCTGCCTCCCACCCTCTCCTCACGTGGCTATTCTCTACAGATACAGGATACCTGAGCAGGACTTCTGTCTACCCTCTTTCCCTCCAGCCCTTTCCCCTAAACCTCAACCCCCCGCCCCCCATCTCCTGACTTTGTGGAAGTCTCGGCGGGGGGGGGGGGGAATATGGCTTTCATCCCTTGTTATCCCGCCTCCCTCTCAGGGCCTCTACTTTCTGCACCTCCCTGACACTCACACCCATTTGACAATCACACTCCACGTGGCCTGCTGCTCCCTTCACACCCATCGCCGACCTCCTTTCTAGTCCCTTGCCTCTCCATGCTCACCTCCCCACCTGCATGCCGCCTTCCCATCCCCACCCTGCCCCTCAAGGCCCCACAACGCCAAAGGAGCAGCTCATCCAGCGGCAAGGGAGGGGTCACCAGAACAACAAGCCATAGCCAGGCAGAGTTTACCTCACATTCTTCTTTTAAAAAATAATAACAATTCCTGGCCTACCTACCTTTAATTTAACAGTTCTCTAAGGGCCTTTAAATTACGCAAAACAAAAACACCCTGCAAAAGCCCCAAACCTGGGTTTGGTATTGTGATCCAGTAATCATGGGAATTTGGATCTAAATAATTTATGGTATTTTACATTGCCACAAAAAATCATTGTTTTTAAAGCTTTTTAAAAAAAAAAGTTAAACAAGTTTTCCTGATGATGATGTGATGAAACAGAGAGGGAGGGAAAGGAAAAGGGCTGTCCCCTATTACCCTGTGGATGTCTTGTAGCATATCAATATTCAGTCCAGATGCGTATTCCAATTTTATCCATGTTTACTCAGAACTAAGTCATAATGAGTTCGATAAGATTAACTCCCAAATGTGTATAGGATTGTACCACAAAGCTGCAAGTCTATTCATGCATTCCTAGGTCTTAGTAGACATGGACAAGTTAGGTACACATAATCCCACTGAAATCAGCAGAAGAAGTGATTCCGGATTAAGGCTGTCCTCTTAAGCTAGTTTCTTGAAGTAAACCCTGCTCAACTCAGCAGGACTCAGTTTTGAATAAACATGTAAAGAAGGATGCCACAACTTATGCCCTGCAGATTTCAATGGGACTAAAGTATGACTGAATCAGGGTCAACCTTTCTGGGTCTTATATTTGTATTGCATTTTTATCAGCTGTATTTATGAAATGGGTAAACTGCCCAGAAAGCTGTAGCTGTGGGGCGGTATAGAAATGAAGTATGAATGAATGAACTAATGAAACTAACGAAGGAACGAACCAACCAACCAACCAACCAGGGGTCATCATGCCACAGTTCTGATTCTGGTTCTGAGGGTGGCTTCAGCTACAAGTTCACATAGGTATACAATGGTGACTCTGTCATGGCAATTTTGCCTCATCCTACAATCATGGTGGGTCAGCAGAAATAGCTGGCTGGAGTAGTTTGACCTGGGTTTCCAGTCTGCACATGACCATGAAGCTCATTGGCTGACTTCAGGCCAGTCACTGTCTCTCAGACTAACCTACCCCACAGGGTTGTTGTGAGGATTAGATGGAGAGAAGGGTCCTGTGCACTGCTTTGTGCTCCTCAGAGGAAAGGCAGCATACAGATGGAACAATTATTTGACTTGGGAAGGAAGGGGTTAGCTGATGCACTATGAAATAGCAGACCATGCATACATTGGCAGACCATGCCAATTTCAAGTGGCAATGATGGATGGCACTCAAACATGATGCAACTCCTGCCCTCAGTTGCCACCCAAATTTGCATCAACTCAGCTCCTGCCACACACTACAGATTCATTAAATGGTCGCCCACATTTGAAGCTCTCAGTCAACATGGAGCAATGGACACAGGCTACCTATCCTCACATGTGCATGGCTATACACCAAGGTCTTCCACCGAGACCCGTTTCTGGGTACCACCATCATCCAAGGTGCAGCAGCAAGTTGCAAATCAGGAATGGGCCTCTCAGTCGTGGCCCAAAAACTTTATAAGTTTTTCAGGGTGGCTCACCTAGTGCCTCCCTTTTATTTCCTCTTTGAGTTTTGCCAGACCTTTTGATCTAGCCTGCAATTTTATGTCTGCCCCGATTTTGTTCACTGTTTCTACTGAAATTTTGCAATTATTATTTTTCTCAGAAGCTTTGCAGGATGTGGTAGAACTTTCTGTGATACATAAAGCAATGCTGGACTTAAATTCCAGAGACCTGGGTTCAAATCCAGCTCTGAGTGACAAAGATCACTGGACAGCGTAGAGCAAAGCACAGGTCCTCAGCCTAGAAAATCACCACTTCTTGGTTGACTGTAAGGCTAAAGTGAGATAGCCCTACATGCTCTGTCTTGAACTTCTTAGGATAAGGTTAGGTTACACACACAATGGGACAATTATTAGATGTGCTGGGCTATCAAAAGAACTTTAATCAACATGAATGCCTATGACTAACTCCTCCCATGACATTGTAAGTAGACTTCTACACAGGTGGGCTAAAATAGAAGTGTGAGGGGGACCAACACAGCCCCCACCAGGCTGGAAGGGTCCATGTGAACTACAGAACTTCAATTCTGCATTTGGCAAAGAGAAAAACTGAAGCATTTAATTCGAATGACAATTAAGAGCTATGTGAATAAAGAAGTGCGTCAAAGTAGAATACAAATAGGCTGCTATATTGAAATACATGATTGTTTGGGTTGCAATGGTCAGGCTGACAGCAAATCCTATACATATCTATGCAAAATAAGCCCCACTGAATCCAATAAGCTGCTCCCAGGGAAGTAAATGCAGGATTCTGAAATATCTATCATGCTTCCCACTCCTCTTGGTCATGCATGTGTGTAGCTCTGAACTGGAATGTATTTTTGCACAAGCCAAACTACGTTTCGTTCACTTTATATTTATACACAAAGCAGCATCAACTACAGTACAAGATTATCCCATACCATTAATCTCTTGCTGCATAAGACTTCTTATTAGTTAACATAATCATTCTCAGGCCACTCCCCTTATACTCAAACTTAATTAAACCTAAAATACATATTTATGTCTTTTCCTTTGCCTTGCTAAGCTTGTGCTGGATAACATGTCACAATGTGTTTTCCCCTCCAGTTTTCCAATACATCCTTGGCACTGATGGAAAATGAGGGCAGTTATGATTTTACAGTCTTGCTGTGGAAAAGAGTGCATGTGTACCCTTTTTATGCTTATCTGGATCACATTTGTGAAGCAAGCAGGGGATGTAAACCAAAGAAGGAACTTGTACTTTCTGTGGGACCTTGTTATTCTTCATTTACTGGCAGAAATGCCTAACTCTTCCAAAACCACTCCACCAATCATGAAAACTGCATATAAGGTGACAAACGTCACACAGATGAATCCTGGAGACAGTTTGATGTACATTAAACAGAGAATGCTGATACCAAAAAGAAGTAATTGCTTGAAAATGCAATATAAAAGATCAAGCTCTTTGCACAGTAGTACTCTAGACAAGTTTGTTCAAGTTTCAGGAGCTTTGATATGAGCACTTTGCATAAAATTTCAGGCAAGATGCCTTTAATTTAGGAAAATGGCCTAGTTTCTGAAATACAAGGATTAATAGTAAAACTATCTGAAGAGAGTATTCCATTAACTCACAATTGTTCTGTCTCTGCTAAGTACATATTTGCCTGTAGCTTAATCTGGGTGACCTGAAGCCCCAGGAGCCCATGAAATCCAGTGGACAGCTGCTCCCAGAACTTATCAGCCTTGTTTTCTGAAAGGCTTACCTTAGGTCTACACTAAATCTAGATTTAAGTGGAAGACAAAGTCACGGTGGAGACAATACAATTGATTGTCAAATTGATCTCTCACGGGGATTAGATAAGGATTAGAAAACTTTCCAAGCGACCAATGGACAACTGTAAATTAGACCAAAAAATTCCTGTTATTTTGTTTCCCCAAATTAAAGTTGTTGCTGGGAATCCATAATCTGGATGAATTATTTGAGTGGCTCACTCCAACATGTAAACTCACTTTCCCTTGCTCTAGAACAACCAAGGTTTTTAAAAGACAGGAATATACACAAGGTATAGAACAAATGCTCAGCTGAATTAGAAATATTTCAGCAAATATGTCACTCTCTAAATGTTTAATGAAACATAACCTTAGCCACAAGTAAGATTACTAGCTATTTAGAGAAAAATGTGACATTCCTAGTACTCCTCCCTATTTTTGCTCCAGGTTGTTTCATACATTCTGCACACACATCACCCTTGAGCAAAAACTGAGCTCATCAAATCCTCTAGGAAAATGGACCACCCACAATCCTGAGCAATCATATGCACATTAAACAGGGTCCCGGCTCTTAACAGGGACAGAAAGAAGATCTTATCACCACTGCAATGGCAGTGCCAGATTTCAGAAATACATCCATTCTAAAAGCGGGGGTGGGGGGGAGAGAAGAAACTTTTTGGAATGTTATTTTAAAATAACTGGTGGTGCCTTTTAAATTTCTCAATGTTCAAAGCCACATGCTAAAATACTGCTTGTCATCACAAAAAGCTAGCAAAGCAGAGCTGCCTCGTTTGTCCAAATATTACCTTTGCGAAATGGCATGTTGGAAGATGTTATTTGAAATCAGGTTTTGCGGCCCTTCAGCAACAAGATTTTCAATTAATTTAAAGATTTAAGGGCCATCTTCCTCACAACTTGACATGATACTCTCTTTCTTCACACAAGCCTACTTCAAACATCACACTGTGGGGCTGCATATTTGAAATGCAATATTTCACATAAAAGTCTACATACTAGAAAGAAAGTCAGGTTAGTTACTTCCAAGTACATCTGGGTAAGATTATAAGATGAAGTTTAAGAACCTTGGTTCACTGTTAAGATACTGAGGCAGGCTCACACTGATCTAAGAGCAGTCTAGAGGTGTTTCTGTAGTAACTGAAATGGGACGGTTTTACCTCATCTGTCTTCACCTTCAAGCAATCCCATATTGCTTAGATGGAAGGTAAAAGAAAGGTCTGACTTTTAAATGACATCCTTTCAAAGTGACTAATGAAATATAAGTGGACTGTTTGAATCTGAAGTCCTGGAGTTTTGATTTTGTCAGCCAAAATAGGCGTGATCATCACTGCAGCAGTACATCTGGAATAGATCAGTCAACCAGTTGGCTTTGTGGGGGGGGGGGGGGGAAAGTGGAGAAACATGTGAATTTGTAACTATTTAACAGCAAGGGATGCATGTAAAAATTAAGTGAATTGCAAGTTCACAAATATTCAACTGCCAAACGTGTTGGCAAACCCTGAATCAAAATGTGCAAGTTGCAAATTTCTTTTTGTTTTTTTGTTTGATTTGATTTGATTGGGTAATGAAAGCTGGTGCTCCTTACCTTCGTGGTGAAAGCTCCTGACAATATTGGCCCTGCTGGTCGCCTTTTCCAAATTATAGTCCATGGCGATTGGCTTCTGACTTGTGTGCAGATGGTAGAGCTCCAACATGTAGGGGGGGATAATGGCGTTCCTGCTTGGAGTGGGCCGCCGTTGAAGCCCAAACATATTGAGCAGGCGTAGCTCAAATTCACGCAGGATACCTTCTGAGAGCTGCAGTGGAGCAACCTGGCCCAAATCGCCACTGAACCTCCGCCGGTCGCCTACCTCTGGAATGAGGCTGGCTGAACCACCGGGCAATATGTGATAAAGCAGCAGCGCTAGTAGAGAGCAGGTCCTGGCAACCATGGTCATCAACCTGTACATGCAAGGGCAGAGTCACAAGAGTGAGTCAGCACAAAACAGTAGGGGGGAAAACACTATAGGTTGCGAACAAGACTCAGGAAGCACAAGGTCCCTTAGTGGCTTCTTTTCAAGTCCTTGTATTGGACATGTAGGGCCTTCCCCTCAAACTTGTGAAGGGGAACCCTGATTGCCATGGGAACAAAGATATTGGGACATGAAGTATTGCAGGACACTGTTCTCTCTATAGGTTCGCAACTCCTGGGGCAAGAGACAAACTACCAGCTCATAGGGAAGCTGCCCAAGTAGATATGCTTAGCAGAAACTGGCATTTGGACTATGGGAAGCAAGTTGCTTAAAGCATAGATATGGCCCATGCAAAGACAAGACTTCATTGATAGATCCTCATAGCAATATGTGGAAGAAACATCGAAATGTTCATTGTATGGAAGCTGCTACTCCTTCTGGAAAGAAGAGTCATGGATGATGATACAGGTGGCACACAAGCTGTTCTTTCCTCCACCATCACGTGGTGAAGCGTGTGAGCACTGCCACAGCCATAACCCTGTGAAATGGAAATTTCACATGGAGGCACATGCACGGGAGAATGTTGGATGCTGCCAGCAGCCTAGACTTCCATGGCTCACTTAAAATGCCATTCTAAACCCCTTGATCCTGTGCAGTATCTGCTTCCTTCGAGCAAGATCCTACCGTGTTGGTCTGCCATGGGAGAGAGGGGGGCAGGTGGAAGTGTAGGATGAACCCATGATCACAGGAATTGTGGAAGTGATATTCATGCCCACCTGTGATACGTGAACTTGGAAGTGATATTCATGCCCAAGTTCCTGTGAACTTCTGGGCCATTTAAATTCAACTGTTCTCTCCATGAAGTACATGGAAATAGAATTGTGATTACACAGAGACGGCACAAGCACATGCACATGTTGGGAACAAAGCAGTCAAGAGGTAAGGGAAGCAGCACTGCAAAGTGTGTGTGCTTGTGGGAGGGAAGCATGGTGGGACCACATCCTTGTGGGGAAGCATCACAGGAATGTGTCCTTGGGAACTGCTTGCTGACCTGCCATTAAGAAAGGAAGACTGCATTGCTTTGGTACAATGAGAAGAGAAACATGGTTTTCGTGTGACAAAGGGAGCGTCGCAAAGAAGAAGGAAGCTGAGCAACAAGCCTGGTTATGGAGTGGCTCTTGAGGAAAGCATCACTTGGGGGAGTGGGCAACTTTTTGACTATAGTGAACATTTAGCATGAGGAACTTCTGGCCCCCTTGATCAGCAAAGCCATGAATTTAGCTCTATAGGTTCCCATGGGTGCAAAGCAGGCAATCATTTTACTGAAAGCAATGAATCTGTCCACCAAGTGGCTGTCAACTGAGATGTGGCAGACTCTAGACTGAAGTGACAAAGCCAACACAGGCTTAGGTGTACATAAGCCCATTAAAATCAACTGCAGCTAACTGAGTGCTGGACCGTGACCTAGCATGGCTTCTGTTCTTGAGATATCCAAGAGGGCATATTCCTTATCATTACATGGAAACTTCTGTTCCTTATGAACATAGAGGTAACAAACAGTGCACTAACAGGAACTTCATTTTATCTCTTCCCCTTCCTCTCTGCTTCTTTTCTCCTTTCCCCCTCCTCAAAACTTTTCAATAGTTGTTTTGAAGCCGGTGTAAGCAGGGCATCCAAGTGCAGGAGCACAATTGCTGCTTGATCAGTTCTCATTCACTTGAGCTGTGCTCTGCTCAGGTGTCTGGGGCAGATAAAGGCTTATGGGGAAGGAACACTTCTGTTGATTCAGTTAGCCAGAAATGCACCCATCTGTGTGATCCAGCATTTTGTGAATCACTTGCTTCGTTCACACACAGGTCAATTCAGAATACATTTTCTGAAGGGATGGGAGCTTGCTCAGTGGAGGCTTTGCATGGTGAAAGGCCCAGACACAGTCCCCAAAAACCTTAAGGCAGGGCAGAAGACCTCCCACTTGAAATCCTGCAAAGCCACTGCCAGCCACTCGACAGCACTAGGCTAGATCGACTAGGGGGCAGACTCCATATATATAAATAAAGCAGCCTCCCATGTTCCTACACTGAAGGAACTGCTCATGGTTTCTCCAGTTAAGTTTCAGCTAAAGCTCCCATAGGAATTCATATTTATTTGGCCAAGTTAACGGAGCCTGTCTAACTGTTTGCATCCTAACTGGTGATATGGGGGAGGAGTTATATACAGGTGATGGGGTTTTGGGGGCAAGGTGGGACAGCATCTGTGCCGCATGCTGTAATGCATTGAAAAGAGCCTCACATTTCAAAAGCACAAGCCTAAACACAGAGAGAACACATCCTCTGAAGGGGAAGATCTGTAGGAGAAAACAGGCACTGAAACTTGGAAGAGTAGTATTCTGTCCTCCACGTGGTTATAATCAAAGGGGGAATGCTTGAGTGTGTGTGTTGGGAGGGAATCCTACAGTGCACAGAATGAAGTGGCAAGTCTGAATAAGCCATCTGTAAGCAGTGCCTGGGCTAGCTCCACGGCGCACCCAGCTCAGATACTTGCTGGAAGGGTGTCCCAGCCAGGACCTACTGGAGGCAGGCACCGCCAACCTTGCACCCTCCAGATGTTTGCAACCGCAGCCCCCTGACCATTGGCCACACTGGCAGGGGCTTATGGGACCTGCAGTCCAAACCACTGGGAGGGCACCAGGTTGCTTCCTTCATCACAGAGTATGTTGGAAAGTGCAGAGTCTACCAGAGATTCCTGGGGTTACACCCTCCAGAATTGCCTAGGATACTGCAAGCTGACACCAGGAAAGAAGCTTCTCCTGGATCCTCAAAGTGCCCAGTTACCTGCAACACCAAATTGTCTTGGGGGCGGCACAGGATCTTGTCAGGAGGCAGAAGGGAAAGTAGGGAAACACAAGGATCAGCTAGGAGAAACTATGATACACGGCTGTGGAGGGAAGGGGGATTGAGGCAGCTATGAGGAGGAGCTGCGACCCTCCCGAAATAAAAGGGCTTTTTTGAGATCATGAATAAGGCTCTTTGGCAGAAGCAGCACATATTCTGGGAGGGAGGGGCCGCGATGGTCTAGGGCTGCGGGGTGTGTTTGCGGGGAATCCCCGCAGGAAGTTTCCTGGCAGGTGCTGCCCTCTGCCCCGCTCGGCCTCGCACGATCCCCTGTCCCACCCTCCTCTTCCTCCTCAGCCCCCGCTACCTTTTAGGATCCCGCCGATCGTCTAAGAAGCAGTAGCAGCGGCGGCGGCGGCAGCACACTCGGCCACGTCCATCGAGCCAAGCTCCACATGGAACGGCTCGGCTGGCCGATTCAGCAGCGCGGTGCGTTCCGTGCCTATTTTTGCTGTCGGCGGCGGCGCCCCTGCCCTAGCTCCGGCCGCGGGATCGGCTCGGGCGTCTGGCCCGCAGCAGGAAAAGAGGGCAGGCGTTGGCGCGAGGTGGAGAGGAGATGTCAACGAGCAGCCAGCCGCGCTCAAGTCCTCCCTCCCGGGAGGTTCCACGCAGCCAAAGAAAAGCCCTGCTCCGCCGCGGGACGTCCAGGAGCTGCGGCCGCTCTAGTTCCGCTGGAGCCCAAGCGCGCTTCGCGGCGAAGAAAACATCCCGGCGGGCTCTCTGTGTGTGTGTGTTTGTGTGTGTGTCTCTCGCTCGCTCGCTCGCTCTCTCGGTCTAACCTGGGCGCACGACAAGGAGGACAACGACGAGGAAGACGCAGCGGCGACGGGGGTTCGCAGCTCTCGCCCGCTGGCCCTTGCCCACTCCCGCATCACTCCACACTCGCAGGGCGCTGCCCTGATGCCGAATGCGCGGAAAGGGTGCGCGCCGCCGGCGTCCTTCTCCAGGGCCCGGGCCGCCTCGGAAACATGCTCAGGGGTGAGGAGGAGGTGGAGAGAGAACGCGGGGCAGCCACAGGAAAAAGAAGGGGAAAGGGGGTCCCGTCGCCACCGGGGCGGGGAAAGCGACGCTCGGAGGGCGGCAAAACCGGCGATGCTCCCTGCCCGCTGGGTCGTGCGACGGGTAGAAAGGCGATCCCGGTCGCTCCTCTGTCTAAAGCAATGCCCTTGGCAGCGTCGGATTCCGGGTTCGATCCCACCCAGCGGTGGCGGCGGCGGCAGCGGCAGCAGCGCCTAGGTCATTTCTCCTTCTCTGGGTCAGCAGCAAGCGAGCAGCGCCGGGCTGCGCGCGGGGACAGCCGGGTGGCGACCCTCCTTCTCCGCCTCCTCTCGGCGCCGCGGCGGTGGCCAAAGCGCTCGGACCGGCGACCCAGCCCCGCGCGCGCTGCCTGCCTTGCCCGCCTGCGTGCGTGCGTGCTCGCCGCGACTCCGCTCCGGGCTGGGCGCCCGCCTGCGCTCCGAGCTGCGACCGCGACTGGAGGTGGCCGCCCGGCTGCGTTGCCTCCCCCTTGCTTCGCGTTGCTCCGCTGCTGGTGATGTCACGGGCGCGAGGGCTTGAGGCGCGCTCGCCAATCAGGGGCGGCCTGTGTGGGAACCGGGAGCCAGGACGGCTGGCGGGCGCGCGAGTGCTGCGGCAGCCGCGGCGAGGAGGCAGCCGCGGAGAGAGCGGCTTTTAAAGGGAACGCCGCCCCTTTCGCTCTCCCCCAGCGCGCGCGCGTCCTAGGAGCATGTACCGCGGCCGCTCTTCCCCCCCCCACCCCCAACTCAAAACTTTCCGGATTAGCTCGCAGAAAAAGAGGAGGAGCCGCTGCCGCTGCTAAGGTTTGCTGGGGCGGCCGTACTCAAGCCGCGATACTTTTATTTCTCTGGGGAGAAACGCGGCGATTCTTATTTATTTGCAGTGGTTACTCGGCGGCGGCGGCAGTAGCAGCAACTAAAACTCCGCCGGATATTTCAAGGGTGGGAAAAGAAACTGCGCCCCTCCCCAAAAGGGAGCTAATTGTAAGGAAGGTCGGGGCGGGGGGGAGAAACAATAACCGCGCGCTCCCCCGCGTCGCCAAATGATGATTCTCTCCGCCACCTTCTTCCTTCCACTCGTCCGGAGCAGGGCCGCTTCTCTACGTGCCCTAGCTGAGATTTTGAAATCATGCGCGGGGAGCGGGGAGGGAGGTATCGGACGCGTCCAGCCTGCGAGCTGTGCGCAAGCTTCGGAAGCGAGCGCGGCGCTGCAGGCTGCGCGGATTCCTTACGCAGGGGCTGCCCTAGAAGTGCTCGGCTGCAATCCTGAAGTTCCAGCAAAGCAGTCCGTCCCATTGACTTCGAGGAGCCTTGCTCCTGAGTAAACGCATTGAAGGTTGCAGCCACTTCTCAGTGGTTGACATCGGGCAGCCTGGCGATCCTGGGCAGAGTTCAGCGCGCCGAAACTCTCCGAGGCCTTGGGCGCGCCGCAGTGGTCCAAGACAGCTGCGCTATCGTGCGGCGCGATCCTGTGCCCGTTCTTTGAGCGAGAAGCCCCACAGGTTTCCGGCAGGGCTTATTCCTGGGTGACTGGGCGGAGGATTGTCGCTTCAGCCGCCCGGCTATGGGGCGTCCCAGGCACCTCTTCCGTTTAGCGCGGTGGTGGAAAAGGGGAGCAGGCCTGTTCAGACGAGATGAGCACTGAACAACGATCCTGTGCACCGGCTTTGGTCCATAGGGGAAGAAACCTGCAGCCCTTATTAGGTTGTGCCTCGAACAGATCCGACTAGTTTCGTGCCCTGGGTGGAATTTAAATGGTTACTGACTTCGAGGGTGTGAAGGTCAAAGAAAGAGAATCTGCACAATTCGATTCAGCACTGCAAAATAAAATAAAAATAGGAGTATAATTCGTTCACCCTGAGAATCGTATTATGTGGGTTATTTAACCAACAGGGGCAGGCACACGAAGCTGCTTCATCAGAAGACCCTGATGGCTTTGTCTGTACTTGAACACTCGTTCTAAATTGCTAGGGCCACTTCAGGATGGTTTCAGACAATAAGATGCTTGCTTCACTTGAGTCCCATTGAGCTCAACGGGTCTACCCTAAGTAGAACAAACGGTGACCACAACCCTCACTTTTCTCTCCATGCGTGTTGACTTTCTGGCTCATTTGTTGCATCGTTGTCCCAGGCTTCCTCCAAGGAGCTCAGAGGGCTTCACCCATTTTATTCTCACAAGAAATCTATCAGGCCGCCCAGTGAACTACCAAAGGCAAATCAGCACGACCGAGTGACATTTGAATAGGGAGGGACTGGAACCTAGCACTTCCCCATAAAAGGCTACTACTTGCTATGGGGCACTGACTTGGTTGTCTAGAGGGGATCCAATGCACAGGGGTTCACCACCAACTCTTGTTTTTCTGATGGCAACATTCTAGGCTATCCAATGTGTCTTTCGAGGAAACAGTTTGCCTGCTGACTCAGAAATAAATTCCACAACCAGTTCAGATAGTGTGGGTGATAACTGAGGGCTGAACTCCTTTGGGAAGTCCAGTTGTGCCTAATTCTCACCATGTAGCCACTGCAACACCTAATGATAAATACACTGTGGAGAAAATGTGTTGTCAGAAGCTCTCCGGTGCCTCTATTGCTGGAATTCAAAGGCAGTGGTACTGCCAGGGCAGGACTGCAGGGCCGACACATCAGAATGAGGAAGAGGACCCTTGAAGGTCTGGTTAAATATTCTGAAGTTAGTAGAAAGAGGTGGATCTCCCCCCCCCCCCCCCGCCCAGCATTCAGTCTAGTTTCTAAAATTACCTAACTTCCCAATATTCCCAGATGTTGTACCATTTGGAAATCATGATACACAATTAAAGCAATTCTGTACTGTATGATTGAATGCAAGGATGGCTCATCCAAAATTGGATTCTGCATATGAAATGCAGAGCAAGCAGCAAGAGCCGTCCAGAGCAGTCCTGCCTCACCTTTGAACATGTGAAGTGATTGACTTCTCATCCCAGCCATGACTAGTCATGATTTGTCCCTTTTTACAGGTGGGTGAACTGGCAACATTTGAACTGTTCAGGGGCCCCCAGTAATCACAGAGTTTAGAGTAATTTTAAGTCAGCTCTACAAGGCCCAAGATAATTTTTGTGCCAGGCCTGTTGCATTCAGTTCAGTCTGTACCGTGCATCTATCATGCTATTGCTATTGATCCCTTCACCATTTGCAAAATTCAGAGGGTGTTTATGTAGTTCGGTTTCTGTAAGAAGTGGCCCACTAAGGAAAGTCAGTCACTACCAGGAAAGGGGGCAATGTAGTGGGAGCTCCAACAGATGTCGTACGATGCGGCTCACAGACCATATTACAACTCAGCAGAAAGAGGGTTGGTTCACAGTAACATGATGGCAGTAGATGATATTTGAATATAGAAGATACTAGAAATGAATCCATATATTTGGATCACCTGATATATCTTTTTTTTAAATGCTTTAGAGGAGATTCATGGATTTGTTTTCCAGCTGCCCATTGACACGTCGTCATTTTTTCCTGTTTGTCTAACAGGGAATTTACATTGAAATCTGCAACATGGAAAGGCACAATTCTTGAATGGATCAGCCTGGCCAAACATGACCCTGCCCGGAGGTGCTGGACTACAACTCTCATCATCTCAGCTTGCTGGGGATGATAGAGGTATAGGCAGCAGCTCTGGAGGGAGCCATGTTTGCAAGGGCTGCTTTGAGTAATTTCACAGCAGCCACACCATCCTTCTGGAGGTTTGCAAACAGCTGCTGCTGTGGGGTTCTGCTGTGGAGAAGGCTGAAGATAAAAGCCAAGTTTCACTGAATGCCTGCCATCCTTCAACCCCCCCCCCCCTATAAATAGTGTGTACAGCTGGAAAAGTCTTCTTTCTGCCTCACCAAACATGACAAATGGCAGAGTTCTGAAAAGTGTGCTTCTTTTTGTGGATATGACCTGTGGTTCTTTTTTCTCTCTCCCCCCTCCACCTTTTTCTTTTCTGGGATGCATGAGTTTATTTTTACATTTTATTTTGTTTAGAAATGCCTGCCCTCTTGTGGTGGAAATGTGTCAGAACACCTCTGTGTGTGGAACTGAAACTCCAAAGCTTTTGAGGAGGGTTGAATATGCTGATTTATTTTCAGTTAATAAGCCTTTCAGTTTGCTTCCATCCCACTCCTGTGTACACACATGAAACTATAATTGATGTGATCATGACTGTAACACTTTAGAGGAGATATTGCTCCTATTAAACCTTGGAAGTGTCGAGGGCTAAATGAGGAGTAGAAAGATGAAGGTCCTTAATGAACACTGCAGGTCTCATTCCTTTCCCTCTGCCCCATTATAGCCATATTGCACCCTTTTAAAATCAGGGGCTTTGCCAAGATAATGGGGGACCAAACTCTTTTAGCAATTCAAGTACTTCAGTGTGTCTTGTTCAAATGCAAAGTTGTGGCCGGCTCTCTGTGACCCCATGGACCACAGCACGCCAGGCTCTCCTGTCCTCCACTATACCCTGGAATCCACCCAACCCCATGCCCCCCACACCAGTGACTCCATCCAGCCACCTCAACCTCTGCTGTCCCCTTCTTTTGCCTTCAATCGTTCCCAGCATGAGGGCCATTGATGCAATATAGATCTTTGCAGCATCGGACTTTCCTTTCACCACCAGATACATCCGCAACTGAGTGCCTTTCGGCTTTGACCCTGTTGCTTCATTCTTTCTGGTGCTACTTGTACTTGCCCTCTGCTCTTCCCCAGTAGCACACTGGACACCTTCCGACCTTCCGGGGTGGGGGTGAGGGATGTGGGAAAACCATGGAAATACCTCCTTGCTGCCATTTTGCTGAGGCACCTCTTCTCCCCCTGCCAACAACCCAACATCCCACTAAAGCCACTTATCCTGACCCCCGAACAGCGCATACTGGGGACAACACAACACATAAGAACAACCATAATGTAATAGGTCTGAAGAAATCTGGGATGGATTGGCCGAAGTAGCATGAAGAAGAGGGATTGGTGTGAGTGTCATGTGTTTTGGGCATTACAAGGCCTATAAAAGTGCCTCGTGTAGATTGCCACCACATTTAGGAGCACGAGAAGCTCCCTTACACTGTGCCAGACCATCAGTCTGTGTGGCCCAGGGCTGGCCATGCTGCTGGCAGGCAGTGATTCCCCAGGGTCTGACGCAAGAGGTTTTTCCAGCCCTGCCTGGAGATGCCAGGGTTTAAACCTGGTACCTTCTGCATACAAAGCAACAGCTCTGCCACTGAG